TTTTCAGTTTTTGGCCGGGGCTGGGTTTGAACCCTCCACCTCCGGCATATGGGGCAGTGACCTACTCTTTTGAGCTACAGGCGCTGCCCTGTATTCCTTTCTTGAAACTGCTTGCTTGCCCCATAAGTAGCTATAAACAAACCTAATAATTTCATACCATATAGGACACTATAATTCATGCTCTATAGCTTAATGATGTACAGCCAGTCATTGAACAATTTTATTTCTATAAACCAATGAGAATTCCTGACAAACAGGAATCCCTGTCCCCCTTTTCTTGCATTTATAAACCCCTCACTTGTAACAAGATGGAAGGGAGTTCATACCTGAGGTTACTTGGGTTTGAGCCTTCTAGGCTCAGAGCTGTCTTCATGTTGGCTCAAGTAAACTATGTAAACTATATTTGCCTCAGGCTCTTCCTTATTTTTTTTTTTTTGACACAATGTATTACTCTTTCACTAGGGTTAGAGTGCAATGGTGTCATCACAGCTCACAGCAACCTCAACTTCTGTGTTCAAGCAACCCTCCTGCCTCAGCCCCCCAAGTAGCTGAGATTACAGGCTGGCTAATTTTTCTATTTTTGGTAGAGACAGGATCTCACTTTTGCTCAGGCTGGTCTGGAACTCCTGAGCTCAAGCAGTCCTCCCACTTTGGCCTCCCAAAGCTCTAGGATTCCAGGCATGAGCACCGCACAGGCCTCAGTCTCTTCTTTTTAGGTCGACTATCTCCAGTTACTTACAATCTAGTAGAGCTGATCACATTCTATTATCTAGTGATGATCTACTTTCCACTCTTCTCTTCTAACCCATATGTCTAATTCAGCTTCACATTTCTGCCAGTGCTTCACCAAGAGTTCAGGCTATAATAGCAGCTAACCTTTACTGTTTGTTATACACTGGATACTGTGCAAAGCTCTAAGAATTCTCTTACTTCATTCTTGTGATATTGTGAAGGATATATTTCATCTTCCTCCCATTTCCAAGCATACAGCTCCTGAAACCTTTGTAATCTCTTAAGACAGTGGTTCTCAATCTGTGGGTCACAACCCCTTTAGGGGTCAAATGACCCTTTCACAGGGGTCACCTAAGACCATCCTGCATATCTGATATTTACATTATAATTCATAACAGTAGCAAAAATAATTTTATGGTTGAGGGTCACCACAACATGAGGAACTATATTAAAGGGTCGCAGCATTAGGAAGGTTGAGAACCACTGTCTTAAGAAGTAGTAATAAGTGGCTCAAGACTTCGAGACCAATCTGAGCAAGAGTAAGACCCCATCTCTACTAAAAATAGAAAAACTAGCCAGGCATTGTGATAGGCCCCTGTAATCCCAGCTACACAGGAGGCTGACGCAGGAGGATTGCTTGAGCCCAGGAGTCTGAGGTTGCTGTGAGCTATGATGATTCCACAGCACTCTACCCAAGGCAACTGAGTGAGACTGTCTCATAAAAAAAAAAAGAAGAAAGAAAGAAAGAAAGAAAAATAAGGAAAAGTGATCTTTTTTTTTTTTGAGACAGAGCCTTAAGCTGTCCCCCTGGGTAGGGTGCCTGGCATCGCAGCTCACAGCAACCTCCAACTCCTGGGCTCAGACTCCCAAGTAGCTGGGACTACAGGCGCCCGCCACAACGCCCGGCTATTTTTTGGTTGCAGCTGTCATTGTTGTTTGGTGGGGTGGATCAGGCTGGATTCGAACATGCCAGCTTAGGTGTATGTGGCTGGTGCCTTAGCCACTTGAACCACAGGCACCAAGCCGGGAAAAGTGGTCCTGAGGAAGTGAAGTATCTGGTCCAAAAGCAAAGAACTCCATTCTGCTATACCTTCTCCCTTGTTAAATAAATGCATAATACAGGCTTGGCGCCTGTAGCTCAGTGGCTAGGGCACCAGCCACATACACCAGAGCTGTCAGGTTCAAATCCAGCCCAGGCCTGCCAAACAAGAATGACAACTACAACCAAAAAAAAGCCAGGTGTTGTGGCAGGCACTCGTAATCCCAGCTACTTGGGAGGCTGAGGCAAGAGAATTGCTTAAACCCAAGAGCTGGAGGTTGCTGTGAGCTGGGATACTACGGCACTCTACCGAGGGCAGCATAGTGAGACTCTGTCTTAAAAATGAATAAATAAAATAAAAATATCTGGGAGTTAGCTGGGTGCAGTGACTCACACCTGTAATCTTGAGAGACACTTGGGAGGCTAAGGCGGGTAGATTGCCTGAGCTCACAGGTTTGAGACCAGCCTGAGCCAGAGGGAGACCTTGTCTCTAAAACTAACCCAGCATTGTGGGGGGCACCTGTAGTGCCAGCTGCTTGGGAGGCTGAGGCAGGAGAATCACTTGAACTCAGGAGTCTGTGGTTGGTAGGACGCCATGGCACTCTACCAAGGGTGACAAAGTGAGTCTCTGTTTCAAAACAACAACAAAAACAAACAAACAAACATAAAACAAAACAAAACAAACAACAAAAAAAATAGCTGGGAGTTGTGAGGGTGCCCGTAGTCCCAGCTACTTGGGAGGCTGAGGGAAGGGAATCACATAAGCCCAAGAGTTTGAGGTGGCTGTGAGCTGTGACACCATGGCACTCTACCAAGGTGGACAAAGTGCAACTCTGTCTCAAAAAAAAAAAAAGAGAGAGAGAGAAATAAAGCTTTATCTAAAGCAGTGGTTCTCAACCTATGGGTTGCGACCCATAAGAACTATATTAAAGGGCCATGGCATTAGGAAAGTTGAGAACCACTGGTTTAAAGGCTGAGGTAGAACCAGTAAAAAGGAATGTTTGAGCTAAGATAAGGGAGTCTGCTTATCAAAGAGCAAGCCAGACAGTGATCTGTTAAGCAAATTGGTGGCATGCAGGTGTGATTTAACTTTTACCTTGCTTGGCCTTAGGTCCTGTTTGCAATTGGTATGGGTATATAAGGAAGCATTTAGACTTCCCTTCCCTTCATGGCTGGGAACTCAGTTTTAAGGTCTTTCTATGGAGGAGTCCCCTTGGCCGAGAGGATGTCTGTTCAGTTTGCCAAGAGTTTAGGGTTTTATTTTTAGTTTACATGATATGCAATAGGTATTGTGAGGGAAAAGTACAGGGTGCTAGGAGAGTTTACGATGCTAAGAAAGGTTGATCTAGAGAGTAAGGGGAAGATACCATTGAGGAAAGGGCATCTGAGCTTGGATTTGAATGGTGAGTATAAGTTATCCAGAGGAAGACAGAGGGTGTATGGGCTAAGAGCATACCAGATTGAAGAAACATATGTGCAAAGGCCCTGAGACCCGAGAGAACTAGGGAAGTTTGAGGAACTGAAAAAACACCAGGATGGCTGGAATGCAAGTGGTTGGACAAGAGAAGGGGTAGAAGGAGAAATGGGTGGGAGCAGATCCTGCAGGACTTTGAGGGATTTAGGCCTTTACAGAAATTAATTGAAAAATTTTAAGCTTGGTGCCTATTGCTCAGTGGTTAGGGTGCCGGCCACATACACTGGGGTTGGCAGGTTCAAACCCAGCCCAGGAAAGCTAAACAACAGTGACAACTGCAACAAAAAAATAGCCAGGCATTGTGGCAGCTGCCTGTAGTCCCAGCTACTTGGGAAGCTGAGGCAAGAGAATCTTTTTTTTTTAAGAGACAGAGTCTCACTTTATCACCCTCAGTAGAGTGCTGTGGCATTACAGCTCACAGCAAGGCAACAGAACCATTTAAGCCCAACAGTTTGAGGTTGCTGTGAGCTGTGATGCCATGGCACTCTACTGAGGGTGACATAGTGACACTCTGTCTCAAAAAAAAAA